TATAAGAAATTTTCATTCAGGTAACAAGAAGTGTTCCCATGTGTCACTGCTGTGTAGGCTCTGGAAGCTGATCAGAAATGGGTGAGGACTGTGATTTCATCATCTGTAGGCTTTTCAATTCTATTCCTTCCTTGTTTGGCTCCAAATCCTGTTATAACAGTGGTCACCCTAGTTGCCATCTCTGCTGGAGTCTCCATATGGTGAGCTTCAGGTCAGTCCAGGAACGGTCTGGGACTCAGGAGAAGGGGAAGTACTATGGCACTTCTTGTGGGCCCATATTCCAACCTACTTGGTTTCTCTGTGAATCCCACCTGTCTTTGGGGTGTTACCATGTGAGCAAAGGAGCTGGCCTGTGGTTAGCCTGGCTCTGCTAGTGACGAGACTAAACATTTCTGTGACTCCTTCAGTGTGTAACAGTCCTTTGAATTGTACTTAATTAAGGAGTGTACGTAATGGCTTTATTTGCAGTAGCAGACTGTACGGTAATCCTCTAACAATTGCTGGGATCCAGAGGGAAGGAAAACTCTCATTAATAAAGACTTTGGGGATAATTCCACTTGAGAGTTGCTGTAGAATTCAGAGCTGCAGGAAATCACATCCAGAAAAACATTCCCTTCATCTTTCTGCTCAGGGCTTCAGAGTATATGCAGGAAAAACAACCCCTGACAAGGCCACCATAGTTTATACATGCATCTTGGGCATGCCAGGAGGGTTTAGCGAAGGTGGCTTTACCGAGTTTCACCTTCACCCACAGTGGATATGTCCAGGTAACTGCATTGCTGTTCACTCTAGCTGATGTTCATGTGGGCTAACCAAAGCTGGTCATGTTTTTCTTTTATCTACACTTTTTGGATGGGAAATGTGAACTTAGTGTACTGTCAACCCCGTGTCTGTATGGCCAGGTGACTGCTGGACCAGGAAAGTTGCCAAAGCCCCAGATCTCTGCTTTTTCCACAGGAAAAAAGCAAACAAAAAGCCCCAAAACAACACAGGAGGAAAAAAAAGAAAAAAAGAGCTGGGGAAGAAAAAAAAGTAAGTTTGTACCAAGCTCTCTGTAAAGTATACTTGAAGTTTTTCTAGGAGAAATACACCAAGGAAGGAGAGTTATTAGTCTCTTGTCCCAGTGAAGATCCCCCTTAGCAGGCAAGACTACAGGGGTCTTGCCGTGCAAGCTGAACTTGTTGCTCTGCACAGCAACATGCCACCTGAACTGATGACCTGACAACAAAAAAACCCCACACTTTTCTGTTTCCTAATGATGCCCAAAACTGTGATTTTTTTTTTTTTATTATTATTCCAGTGGCCTTTGTTAGCCCATAGCAATGACAGCTGTGATGTGTGAGGGTTATCAGCGTTATCACTAGGCAGGTAGGAGGAGTGTTGTCCTGACTGTTTGGGTTATTTATTTACTTGTTTAGTTAATGTGGAAAATGAGCCATAAACTAGAAGGCCTCCAGTGTGAGTCTGTTGACCTTGATGATTCTGTTAAAGGTCTTTAGACATTAAATTCACACATCACTAACCTTCTTCAGCTAAATAGTAGGTGTTTTAGTTTGAACTGGTCCAAGTACAATCAGTGAAGTGGGATGAAAGCCTTCAGGGCTGATGCTTGCTAGCTCTCTGTTGGACTAGAATGAATAGTAAAAGTTCAGACTAAACCATATATCTTTTACCCAGCTAAAATGAAGGAAGATGTGTCCTATTGGGAGAGAAGGTAAGATATATTCCTCTTTTTGTTTGTTTGTTTATAGAATCATTGAGGTTGGAAAGGACCTTAAAGGTCATTGAGTGCAACCATTAACCTAACACTGCAAAGTTCACCACTAAACTGTGTGCCTAAGTGCCACATTTACAACCTTTCTGGTGAAGGAATTTTTCCTCCCCGGGATCAGCTTGAGGCCTTTAGCTCTTATCCTATCGCTTGTTAACTGGGAGAAGAGAGTGACCTCCACCTCACTACAACCTCCTTTCAGGCAGTTGTAGAAAGTGATAAGGTCCCCCCTGAGCCTTCTCTTCTCCAGGCTAAACACCTCCAGTTCCCTCAGCTGTTCCTCATCACTTGTGCTTCACCAGCTTTGTTGCCCTTCTCTGGGTCTGCTCCAGCACCTCAATGTCTCTCTTATAGTGAGGGGCCTAGAACTGAACACAGGACTTGAGATGCAGCCTCACCAGTGCCTCATACAGGGGACAATCACTTCCCTGCCCCTGCTGGACCCACTACTGCTGATAGAGGTTAGGATGCCACTGGCCTTCTTGGCTGCCTGGTCACAAGCTGCTCATGTTCAGTGGCCATCAATCAGCCACTCTTCCCCAAGCCTGAAGCATTTCATGGGGTTGTTGTGGCCCAGGTGAAGGACCCAGCACTTTGCCTTGGTGAACCTCATACTATTGGCCAGAGCCCATGGATCCAGCCTGTCCACAACCCTCTGTCCAGCCTTCCTACCCCCAAGCAGATCAACACTCCTGCCTAACTTGGTATCATCTGCAAACTCACTGTTTGTTTGCTTGTAACTATCTAGTACTGTTTTAGACAGTTTAATGTATATGAGGTTGCTTTTGGAGGGTTGAAAGACATCCAATTTACACAGGCCTATGCCCCCTGGAGTGAAAGCTGTTGGAAGATACCTTAGGACATCTCAGCTGAGGTTAGATACCTCTATTTGGGGGACTAAATCTCCACTCAGTGTCTGGCTCTGCTTGAAATCAGTGGGGATCAGGCACCTAAACCTGTTTTAGTCAATAGAGCCATTGCTTAATTCTCCTTGTTTAAAAGCTCACAGCAATTCAGGACCATTACTACAAAAAGCCATGATCATCTGTTTTTTGATGTTTTAGCTTTTGGACACACTTTCTCCAGTGATTTGCATAACACAGATGCCTGTCCTCTTGGACTGGTTGAAAAAAAGATGAGCTTTTTAAAATTCCATCTATAATCAAGTGTACTTGAATCTATTACAAGCCCACCTTTCAGAATACTAATGAAGAATCAGCCTCGTTTTTTTTACTGAAAGGTGATAAAACACTTAGAAGTAAATGTTGGGCTGTTGAGGTAAATATGCAATCAACTAATTGAGGCATGCATTTTTAGTGAAGGGAAGATGCAGCAGTGAAGTACTTGCTAATGGGCTAAGTAGAAAATTTAATGCACAAAAAGAATTTAATATATGTTGTACAAGTACACAGAACTTGCCAACCCTGATCAAAGTCCGACCTGCGTGAATTAATTTTCAAAGTGAAAACTTGAGTTCTTTGTAAATGTGAGATGAATTTGGCAATAGTTTAAGTCCAGAGAGTTAAATCTTTCCTTTGAAAAAGTCAGAATGTTTTGAAAACGTTTCAGTCTTTACAGCAAGTGTTCTGCAAATCTCTCATGCTTCCCTTCACGATTTTTAAAGGTTAAAGTAAAAAGGCAAGAAGCACCGTAAGTCAAAACAAAATGAATCTGTGGTACTTCAGATTAGCCAAGATAAAATTCCCTAAGATGTTTCCTTTTGGGAAAAAGAAACATTTGAATACCAAGATAACTTCCCCTTCACCCCCACCCCTTGTGTTTGGTTGGTTGGGTTTAGTTTTTCTTTTTTTAATTTTTAATTTGACTAGAAAAACACATAATTAATTGTTTATACACTACTAGTCAAGGCCCATTCCCAACCTAAAGGAGATTACAGTCTGAACAAAACATGGGGTGAAACAGGGCAAAGAGCAAGTTGGGTTAGTAAGAAATGGTGAGAATAAATTTAGCATGCTAAATTATTTTATAATTTCAATCCAAAGGGCAGTTTACATAAAACGTTGAATTGTTCCTTCAGAGGATTTGTGGACCTTCTCTCTTACAAACTTGTCTGGCAAATTTCTGGATAGAGAAGTAGCTCACATGATTTGAAATGAGGCATGAAAAGATCTTTTTTTTTTTTTTATATTATTCTGTTTTCTCTTCCTCTTTCTGATGAAACTATATTTTTTCCCAAAATCCAGCAAGAGCAAACACTGCATCAGTACCTTCTTACAGGCAAAGGCTCATCCCATGCCCCTAAAATTCACCCAGTTCGTGTTTTTTCCTACATCACATTTAATAATGATGGTGTAAACTCAAGCCAAGACTTCTGTTCTCTTCACATCATTCTCCTCTCACCATTTCTTTGGAGCTGAGTTTCTGAATAGGTTTCTCCCTGCTGAATGCCATTTTCAGTCTCTTTGAAAGATACAGAGGTTTGTGCAGCATAGTCCATAATGGGACCTCAACTTTTGCTTGCAGTTGTCATAGCTATAAAGCAAGGTGCTCTGTCTGAGTTGAACGTGTGTTGATGACAAGGGGACGCTGTGTTATGTGTGAGCTCCTGGTTCCTTTGCAAATTTTATGATTAAGACAGTTCATGAATTATATGTTGTATGAAGTCCACGTTTAATTACCTGAACATTTATAGCCACTATTGTATTGCAAACCAATATAACTAGGTCTGACCAAGGAGAACCCACGCGGGGGTGAAGGTCTTGTTACTGGGAATTTCCTGCTTTTTACCTCCTTGATCTCCTAATCTGCATCTGAGATTTCGTTCCTATCTGATTTGTTATTTTTGTTTTGCTTTGAATTAGCATGAGCCAGGAGGCAGGCCACATGAGAACAGAGGGAATAAACCATGTAAGCATAGATCCCACTGCTCTTGACATGAATATTAAAACTGCCATTTCCTGCCCCAGATAGCTGTTGGTGTTAGGTTAGCCAGGCAGGGTTCCTAGAGCATAGAGAAGCAAAATTGCTCATGATCATCAGAGAAAAATAGGTTGTTTTGATTTTTTAAAGGAAGGCTTGGAGGGAAATGCTGTTTTTCAGCAGGCTCTGGTTTACTCTCCCTTCTCTCAAGCAAACATAAAATAAGGCTGGATGTTTATCCCCATTGTGCAGTGGCCTAGGAGAGCTCAGATGGCCGTGGATCCCCAAGAACACATATCTGAAGATAATTGGGTTTTGTTCACTCTCTTCCTCTCTGCCCTTTCTGCAGGTGTCCAGCACACGTCCAGAGTGCAGCATCATGCAGGAGATAGAAGAGGAGCGCAGCCAGTGCTTGGCAGAGCTTATTGGGGGTAACCAGACTTCAGGTATGGGGATTCTCTCTTCTCTCCCTGGCCTGCAAGCCATCACCACCCAGCCTCACATTTGCCCTATCCATGCCACTTCTAGCCCCTTCTGCTGCTGGATCTGGGCAGTCATTCCAGCTGATGCTGAGCTCTTGCATTAGGAGGAAGATAAGTAAGTACTTCCAAAGAACAGTTCAATCAACCAACAATTTGAATAGCTTGCTGGTATTCACTCGCTGCCTTCGTGCTTGGTACGCCTAGCTGAGGTGTCTCAGTGTGCTTCATCATAGTCAATCATCTATCTCTCTGAACTGGAAGTGCCTTAATGAACTTTTCCCCTGAGAGTGAAAGCCTAATGTTGTCATAGGCTTTGGCTTGCTTCAAGGGAATTTATGGCCACTTTCTCCTTCACTTGAACTGCCCTCTGCTTCTCATGCCAAAATTGTTTCTGTCCTGGTGGTGAGACAGAGGAGGAAGGGTATGCCCCAAGGCTGCAACGTATCAATGAGATTGGGCCAGGCAGCTGATATCTGCTCAAGCTGATCCCTGGAGGATCTTCACTGAATGCAAGGATGGCTTTTGGCCCCTGCTTTTATCTACTAATACATGGTTTTCTTTGATTCAGAAACTATTTCAAGTGTCCCTGTACAGTTAGATGGAGCTGCTTAAAGAAATGTTCTCTGGGAATCCAGTAAAGGAAGAAGTCAGGGTAGTTAAAAACATTCTAAATGTTTCATTTTGGTTTTGTGGATATTTAAAGGAATTCAATTAAATACCATACATTGAAAATAAAATAAATGCTTGAAGTGTTAATAATTTTTTCTGCTTTTCAAAATTATTTTTCTCATTGGAAAGTTTAATCCACAACAGCTTTTTTTTTTTTTCTTCTTGCTGAATTAAGCCACGGAAAGTGTTTTTCCCTATTCTGATGTAAAACCACAGTTATGTTACAAGCCTTTAATGCCCAAGCACTAACAAATACATAAAAATCCTTTGTAGTTTGTTTTTCATAATGGAATGCTGAAATATTGGACTAGGATAATTCTGCATTTCCACTGGTCACTGTCCATAGTCATTTAAATAGAACGGATTCAGAAATTGCAGTTGTGAGCACTATAAAGTGTTTTTTGTCCATGGGGACAGTACCTGGTACTCCCAAGTTAGTCAGATATCCGTTGTGTGTGTCTGCATGTCCTGGGCAGAAATGGTTGCTGATGACATCAGTGTGGAACTGATGCTGGCACATCTTGTGTCCAGCCAAATTTTACAATGCAAACTGTGTGGAAAGCAGCTGGCATCCATTTGCTCGAAAAAGTCTGCAGGTATTTAAGAGCTCAATACCTGACTCTTACCTAGACACTCATGGCTGCCATTGCAATCAACAGAAGGAAACCAACATCTCTAAAGTGTTGGCTCTCAGATGGGTGACTATGGGTGAATCATATTATGGAAAAGTCTGTTTTGAAAATGGTGTGGGCTGGCAACTTCTGAGTGCCTGAAGATGTGTTTCCCCCTTGGAGCATTCAAGATATAGCATATGAGTACAAGTATGTGGAAAAAGATGTTTTTCTAGAGTGGGGCTCCATAATTCAATAAATGCAGCTGAGCATAGCTGCGAAATAAAACTTTGAATTTTGACAGTTAGGGGTGAAAGGGAAGTTTGTTGGGGAGAAATCTAAGTTGGTGATGCACAATTGTATGAAGGTGATGACAGTTTAATCTGAGTGTTGCTGAAAAGAAAATATACTATCTCAGAAGAAGAATGTAATTTTAATACAGTTCAGTCCCCCCAGGGAAGGAGAATGGAAAGGAGTTGAGATTCCCTGCCATTTGTAATGTAATACCTTGATTTATGGCCAGGTAGGTGTGCTGCTTTCTAGACATTCCACATCCTTTTGGCAAATAGAAAATCACTTGAGGTTTAACAAATTATTTGTTTTCCTTTCTAATTAAATGAGTGGAAATAAGGAAATGCACCTTTTTGGTACAGTCTGGAAATAAATCTCTGTTTAGAAGCCATTATCAATTGTATTGATCAGAGAGGCTTATTCACAGATGTAGTTTAATGTGTCACATGGATTAGTCACTTACTAAGAACATCCGATGGGATTGCTGAGATTGGTCACTGGCTCAGGGTAAGCAGGTAGATTTCAACTGATAAACAATAACATCTGTCTTAATGCTGTTTTGTCTTCAAGCACACATTCCTTACACTGTGTGTATATGCATGGGTGAAATTGATCCTTTCTTTTCAAATTAAACCTCTGTGGTTTTAGTGCTGGTAGTGGGTGCCAATTTCTGTTCCTAGTGTCAGCAGTCCTGGACTGCAGGATGGGAGTTTCTCTATTCCCTGTGAGGAATGTGATTCAGTATCCATGAAGTTATCCAGATTTGAGGAGACTTTAGCAGGGACACAGCTGGTGTCAAATGCATGACCACCTCTGATAAGAAGAGGTGAGCTTTTCAGCATGGGAAGGGCTGCAGAAGATGCAGATATTGCAAAAACAGCAGGGAAGACCAGTTTAAGGTGGCATTGTGTACACAGGAGAATAAAATCACTCTGAGATCAAAGTCTGGACTTTAAAGGAAGTTTATAACCATGAGAGGATTCTGAACAGCCTTTCTGGGGGTCTGCGGGAAGGAGTGTTTCATTGACTTCATGGCAGAGCTTGCCCCGTTTATGAAAGGGTGTGTAGGATGCAGTTGCGTATTGCAGCACAGGATTGGATTTCGTGAGCGGGACTGCTCATACAGTCCTCTGCCTTGTTATCTTTTTACCTCCATGCTGAAATAGCTAGTAAGGATGTAACTTGAAAATTGTGATTCAATATGGATATTCTTTACCATGCAAACCAAGACTAAGTAGACTGAGACCAGTTTGTTTTACACAGGTAGATAGCTATTGCATGGGAATGATTTTTGGTGAGGGATTTCTTTCCCTTGATTTTAGGTATCTCTAGTGTATTCTGGCCTAGTGTAGGCATCTCTTTTAGGATGTGGTGTTCATATTGTCTTGCCTGTTCACAAGATCTTCATTTACTGTGAGGGGGTTCTTAGTGAGTATCTCAGCTGTTCTGGAAGTAACCACGCTTCACAGATGATTCCTGGCCTGGTGTTCACTGGCTTGGAGGGGATTTCAAATCAGTTAAGTCCCAGTTCCATCATTAGGAGTGATGAGAATCACATACAGAATTGCATTTCAGGAAGCTAGGCTTTCATTGGGGTATTTGTTAGATGATCTTTCCAGCCGTTTGGCCCCCAAAGAGTTCTCACAATATAATTTGAGGCATTATTAAAAAAAATCATCTGAAAAACCTGTTTCTGTGCAAGTGGCAGGATTCTTCCCTCCTCAATGCAGCCAACAATGTGTAAAGTGCCTCATCTCAATCTCAGTGCAGACTATGTTCCTAAAGACCTAAAACTCAACTCAGAGAGTTTGTCTGCATCATTTCTGTGAAGTGATATAGAAGGCTTTTGCTGGGTTTTGACATGTTGGAAAAAGAATTTTGGTTATTCCTCCCTTATCACAGAGCTAAGGACAAAGTGCTGCTGGATTGCGTAACACACAGATGTGTGTGCTGGACTAGTGCTGCACTAGTGAAGTCTGTAGTTTTGTTATGTGTGAGTTGTCTCTTTCCTTGCCAGGAATGGGCCAGTCTCATAGCTGGCATAGCTGGGATGCGCTAGATGAAATACCATGAACGACACAGATCATGTCTGCTTGTAATTATACAAATGTGAATCATTAGCTGTGGATGCCTTAGTTTCCCACACTAAGCATGTTTTAATCCCACTCTGTGCTAGTCTCACAATGGGTCTCTCTGCCGACTTTGTCTTACTTGATATTCTTAGATTATTGCAACTATGGCAGCACTGTTGCTGCAGTTCAGATGACTGCTGGGTCTCTTGGCCTTAGTTTTTATCCTTAAAAATAGAAATGCTAATATTTTCTGTCAAGCAGTGATAAGTACAAACAGATTGAAAAGTGTCCAGCTATTTTACAATTGGGACTTACAAAAGTACTGTAGATAGAGGAATAGGAAATGCAGTATTTTGGCAGCACCCCACAATTTAAATCCCCAGGAAGCTACTATGTATCTGGGGATACAATAACACCCCAAAAGAGAAGATTCACGTCATCCAGGTTAGGTTGCCTCTTTTCTTTCCCACTCCTCTTTTCCCAGATAAGCCTGTACATCAGTCTTCAAAGGCTGCGGTAGCAGACTTTTGTGGAATTGTTTTCCCAACAGCTGCTTGGGGAGTTCCTTGGGAAAGCTCAAGTTATGTCTAACATACTCAAAGCCACATTGCCCTATATGCCTGTGCCGGGCAATGCAGTGCTCTAATGGGTGTGAAGAGGCAGGAGTCCTTCCTGGGCAACTGCAGTATCAGTTCAGCCAAGTCAGTCTCAGCATCTGAATGTGTTCAGTGAAAGCCCTCTCTGTGACCCCACTATACAAGTGTGATGAGAAGTTCTGAAGGATTGCTTCACAGAAAGCAGTTTGCACACTGGCAGCAGCTACTGCAATCACAGGTTGCAAGGTGCCCAGTAGCATCTTGTGCTGTCTTCTCTATGTTTCTCTTTGCTCTCTGGCTCTTCTCTGGTGGCATTTCCAACCACAGCAATGTAAAACAAATAAAGAAGGCGATTTCACTGCCTGGGATTCTCCAAGGCACTCGGTAGTTTTTAGGAGCTTATAATAAATAGAGTTCCTCAGGCCTCTGCATTATTTTCAAAATGCTTACAAACATATTTCAAAAGTGAAGAATGTGATCACAGCCCCACTAAAAAACAGTCTTTTACTCCAGATACCTTTTCAGCCAGGATATCTGTATGCAATACAGTGACTGCTTAGCTGATAATACAGTTAGCAGCAGTAGGGAAGCTCTCCCAAGGGTTTGGAGGAGAGGATGGCTGAAGGGGGTTTTGCTTTCCAGACTCACAGATGGTGGCAGATATCTCTCTGTATGAAGTATGGCTGAGCTCCTAAAGGCTTGCTGCAAGGCAGGTCTCACCACTG